AGATGAGGTGGAGAAGAGCTTGGCCTCTCTGAGCATGGCAGGATGTTAGCTGGGTTCACCTACCATGTGAAACTGTCTGCTCTCCAGAGCCATGCTCTGGTATACCAGCTGCCCCTACCAGCCATATCACCTCCTCCATTGAAGCAGCATTGTGGGCACTGGGTGATGTTGGAAAGCCCAATAAAAAGTCTTTCAGCTCAGGGGATGGTCCCACTGCTTTGTTTTGACATTCCAGTCCCAAGGATTTACAGCAACCAAGCAGAAAACTCATCCTAATATATGGTTATAAAAACAATGACCAAGAGCTGAGTTCACTCTTTCTTAGTTGTAGTTCCAAAACCCATTTCAGGGGAAACCTCTGTCTTTCACCATCTAGCAACTGTTGTACCTTTGTCATCACTAGCTCTTATTTGCTATGCTAGAGCTTGTACTTCTATACAACTTCTCATAGCAACGAGCATGGGATTTGTACCTTGGTAAATACAAATAATGTGTGGGATTTTTTTAATTCTATTATGCTGAAACAAAACCAATCAAGTTTCTATAGAAATGTTTTCCAAACCTGAAGTTACCACTTGCAATTAGTTGTTCAGGCCCCATTTTTCAAAAAGTGAACACAACAATTCCCTAAACCATATCCAAAACAGATGCCCTGTAATGCAGTCTGATTCCATGGAGTGAAGGTATAGCTCCTATAATCACAACTATTCATTAGTTATCTGCAGAATATTCCTTAATGAATCATGAAATAAATATTAACAAAACAGTCATGAAGGAAAAACAACATAAGCATAGATTGACTGAAATGTGCTTAAAATAATAAAGAGTAAAAATCATCCTTTATTCTTGAAGCAAGAGTACAGTGCACCTAACCACCTGCACCAGTGACCATGGTCAATAAGGGTGCCTTGCTGGCTGCTCCAAGTGTTCAGAAAATCATTGAACTGCCTCAGCTCCGGCTGAGGCTCCTGAGCTCTCAGCTATTGTGCAACACGGAGCACATGGTTATAACACGCAGCAGGTTTTGCTCGACAGCCGCTGGCCTTGTCGTAAGCCAGTACTATCTCCCGGGGGCATGCTCTGCTGTCATTCTGCAGCTGCTGAACTGTCACTGAAGCAGCTCTTTCCTACAAGCCAGCTGTCTAGTAAAAAGACTGCAACAGCCAAGAAACTCTCTCAGAATAAACAGGGAGAATGTCAACCCAAGTAAAGTTCACAGTAGCGGTCATGAGAGTAAACCTACCTTTTGGTGTTGGTAAGAATGAGTTGCTTCTGGTTTTAGACCTTTCCAGTCTCAGCCTGCATTTACATGGATGAATATGCCCATCTCTCAGCCAAACCTCAAAGCACATCAAAGTAACTTTTTCTTTTTCAAATGAGCTCAGGAGGCCTAGGAGTGAGGATAAGAATGGAGCTACACTCAGCCCACCCAAGAACAAGCTGGGAACTCCCTGGATGAAAAACAAGTAAGGGTCTCAAGAGCAGGTCACCCTTGATATCTCCAAGACAAACTAGTCAACAGATGATCAATTGCAGTGAATTTTCCAAGGGATCAGGGAAATTCTTATGCTGTCACATCTCTGCCTTGGCAGACCCTTCAAAGCATGCATCTTTTGCCCTATTGAAGTTCTGCAGGTTGTGCCAGACTAATAACAAAATCCCTCTCCCTGGTCAGCACTAATTTTGAATTCCCAGAAGCAGTATTGCATCAAGTATAACTGAGCCAGTCAGTTGTTCCCAGGGGAGCAGAAATATGAACATGTTCATATTTCTCTTCATCCTAACTATCGGCATCACACAAAAGAAATCCTTGTAATCAAGGTGCCAGGTTGCAAAGTTGAAGTTGTCTGACTGTGTGATATGAAATACAACCCACCAAATATTTACACAGAATATAATTCTGTCCAGACCAACCTGTTGAAATTTGAAAACAATGACACCTAAGCAAAGAGAAGTAGATCCATTAGGGAATCTCACTCAAAATCCCAGTTCCTTCTGGCTCACCTCTGCTTCTGCATTGCTCAATAAACTGCTGGAAAAATCCTCTGTAGTACACAAGGCAATACAATAAAACAGATCCACTAGGCATGAGGTACCTACCCAGGATGGAGCACCTACTGCAGAGAAGAGATCAAATAGGAAGAACAATGGTGCATGTAAGAGGTGTGAGTTGGTCAGCTGCAGAGTCACAGCTGGAACTATTCTTTGAGAGGTTCCTCATATGAACACTTCTGTTTTACAAGGGAACATGTACACAAAAACCTGAAACTTAGTTCACTGCCTTAGAAGTAGCAGTAGGACAAACACCCTGTTAGTGTGCTGCACACAAATATACAGAAAGGAAGGGCATGCTTCATACTGTCAGTTGGTGTCCCAGGAATCCTTCGGAAGGTTCAAGATTGTGGATGTGTATGCAGAGAGTATATCCCACGGAAGAACTGCTGTAAGTAACAATCTTCACCTTCAAGCATCTATCTACATGGACATTCTGTGGACCACTCACAACAGTAAAAGCTCTACCTATGCAGCGTCTGCTAATGATTACTAAACGCCACCTTCCAAAGGTACCAATGGTATTTGTATAATCCTCTTTGGATTCCTCAGACGATGAAGAAACTGAAGAACCTAAAGAACAGGCTACTTCCATATGCTAGAGGAGACAGAATTTCAGGTAAATCCCCTTAACCATGACCTCAGAGTTGCTTTGCTTCTCCAGCCACTTGCACGCAGCACACAGGTATGGGAATTTTTTTGCTTCTGCACAAGTGGGTTAGACCTGAATTTTGCTAAGCTTACATAATGTGTATGGCATAACACCTTAAGGAGAATGATCTAAAAATAATATCCAGATATTATTTTAATATTATGAATGAATGTTTCTTATGATCCAACTTTTGGGTTAAATTTTTTTCAGAACAGGTTGTCTGTCAAGACAGCTACTGAATGTGACTGACAGTTTGGATGTAGCTGCTGTTGCAGCTGGAAAGTAGTGCTAACATCCACATCATCAGACTCCCTCTTAATCTGTCTCAAGGAGTGAGAAAGCACAACAATTATTTATGAAGAGTGGGTAAGAAAGTAGGTCTACCTCTATAGGTGTCACCAAACCATTCAGGTGCAGGTATGGAGAAGTGGTTCCAGGGCTGCATTGTTTGCTCCCAGGGTTGTATCATTTTGTTCCTATAAATGAATGAGAAGGCAAACAGCCAAGGGATGAAGCCCTTCTTTTTTTTCAGTCACACTTTTTGCTTTTTGGTGTTCGTTCCCGAGCCAAGACTGGCACCAGTAATGGCAAAGCAATATTCTGACAAAGCTCATCTGCCCCCACTGTTTTGGGAAGTTTCAGAATTCACATGAGTGCACCGTGTGACAGATGCTACCCCACCTGCTGCTGATCTTTCTGGGGACAGTTCTCTAAAGCCTTTATGGGACATGGTCAGGGGGCCATTCCTCTTTTACCTAAAAAAGGATAATTTCTGAGAAGGTGCCAACTTCAGATCCTCTGCTAGAGAGCCAGCTGCTTTCCTCAGGGAATAATCCTGAAACTGTGTTAATGGTTCTTTTGTACGTGAGGATTGTCTCCAAACTGCAGCACGAATTCCACGGTGCACAGTTTTCTCCGAAGCAGTTCAAACAACACACGATAGCATAAGATTTGAAGTGACCTTCACAAGATAAGAGCTGTTAAATGTTTAATGGAAGAACCAATCTGATCAGAGGAAACACTAAATACTAGATGTGAAGACAATGCAGTGATGCAGCTGCAGAATGAGGAAAGCCTCATGCTTTACCTTCACGTCAGCTATAAGTTTGGCAGGAACTAAGGACATGCATTGGGCATGAACACCTTGTATCAGCATGTCCTGGGGTGGGGAAGAGCTTGAATACAAGTACTTGAATGTGAGTATCCTCTACACAGCATTCAGCTTACTACATTACCAGGAAAGGTAGGTACTATTGCTGATGCTTGTGCATGCACGTGCTTGGCAGACAAGCTGCTAATCAACAGACTTCTACAGTTCTACGATAAACACCAATGAATAGTACTGTTATTACAAAGTGATTGCTAACAGTGGTGTTGCTATCAGTACACAAAATACTCTATGTTAGTGTCAGATGTTTCAAGCACAAACCTATAACCAAAACACCTGCTGCAATAAAAAAGAAAATTTGCTTGGTTTTAAGTGATACCACTCAAGCATATGATATTTAGAAAAACTTTTCTTGAAACCATCTCTTCAGCTACCTACTGCAAAATTTTATCCCTTATAGCAGCTACGTTATTCTTTCAAAACATAGTATTTATGTCACATGAATTTTTTATTCTGGAAAACACCTTTATATGGTTTTCCTCCTTTTTTTTTTATTTAATGGAACACATTTTCTACCACGAAAAATGGGACCGAAAATGTAAGAAAGACTTAAATACTGAAAGTGTTAAAAGGGGGTGCTTGGGGGTTCTTACATTTCACCTACAGATTACTTCCTTGGCTTCAGCGGTACTCTGTTTAGCGGGGATGAATGTGTGCAAGACTTAGGCTAAGAGTATTAGTTGAAGTTTTAGAAACCTGGTACAAATTTGTGCACTGTAGCCTTATAGTAAATTGTTATTCAGACAACTGTTCTAGTGATGCTAACCCACCCACTCACATCTTAGTTTAGTGGACATTAGACGGCCAAAAGATAAAATAGTAAAAGGAAATACTCATTTTTCCAAATTATGCAATCACAGGCAGTATGCACACACAAACAGACTGGGAATCAGAGAGATATCCTAAGTGAAAACAACAAAAAAATTGATTCAATAAGAACAATAGAATTCTTTTTGAACCTGCTACAAAAATTATTTTCTCATACACATCGACAAAATATTAAAAAAAAAAAAAAAAGTTGCAAACTTCACTGAAATATAAGTCATCTACATCTTAAAAGATTTGGGAAGTATAGTGGGCTTTTCAAATATCAAGTAATAGAATAAAGGCAACCTTCTTTCACCCTACCTGTTGCCATTTGCCCTTAATTGCTGGATCTCTGATCGACTGGCAATGTCTTTGGATTTGCTGGATGACACCCTGGTAATATACCATAGAAGAGTCATAATTCCCAAGAAGCGCATATTCTCTTCCTTTTTTGGCATTATCACAAATCTCTGCCAGGTTCATTTTCACTCATAAATCTAAAAGAGAACATAATCGTCAGAAAAATGAATTTTATGTGCTGTAGAATAATTCAGACCATGACACTTTAGTTTTGTTTTTTCCCTCACAGCTAAATTGGGTCTTTCTGCCCCCATTCCCATCCAGTCCTGCTCTTCTACAAACATTTAGCTCCAGAGTTTCTCTTTACCAACCTACGGATTCAAATCATGAATCATAACTTTTTTATGGTGATAAAAAATACAACTTCTTTGCTGCCTTTGGCCCCAATCCTGTTAAATTAGTGTAAGAAAATTAAATGCCCTACCCACACTGAACCCAACAAACCAAACTTTAATCTGCAGATCACCACAATATACTGGTAGCCATCAACCCATAAATCACAAACCACATGAGGCATTAAATTGCTTTTTATACTGGTGTATTACATATGTGCTTAAATGTGCCAACCAGCATCAGGGAAGTCTATGCTTAGCATTTTCAAGAGCCCTCATCCTAATAAGATTATGATATGGTTGAATGACTGCTCTACTACAGACAAAGTTGAGAGCCTCATTCTGTTCAAATATCCCTTCAAAGTACTCTAACATCCACATGCTGACTTGAATTTTTTCATTAAATTTAACATGTCACTTTGGGATTTATGGCACAGTTAACAATCCAAATTTAAGATTCCTTAGAACAGTGGTTCCCAAAGTACAACCTTCCTCTAGTCCTCAAAACAATTTAAGATTTACAGATTCTACTAACTTTTTTATACAAGTAGTAAATTGCAGCATGACTTTAAGGCAAACCCAAAGCCCAGTTTTTCCCAGTAACCATTCAAGAAAGCAATAGAATGCACAAAAAAACAATAACCCACACATTCAGAAGTAAACCTTGTTGTACAGCTAGGTTTGTATTTAAGGTTCAAGATCAAAGCACTGCCTGCCCTTTTATCTGAATCTCATGTGACCAAAATTCTAGGTCCTTACCACACAAAAAGAGCATCAGTTCCTTTTCCTTGTTCTCTGACTCAGGATGGCTGGGGTCCCTGACATTGACCCAGATATAAACCTCTGGAAATCAAAAATAAAAAATTGGAAACCATAGCCATGCAGTGCAGAGTTGCATTAACCAAGAGGGAGGAGACCAGCTCACGAGGGTTGTCTGCTAGCTGCATTGAGGGTTTGGTAAGACCCAGAAGGTGAAGAAACAGGGAATGAGGGATACAATCAGACAGGGCCTGGCCTAGCACACAGTTCAGGCTGCACAGCTGAAGACAGCCTGTGGTACAAGGGTACACACAGAAGAAACAGGTGGTAGCAGACAGAAGCCAGAATAGGGAGAAACAATCCTTTACATCCTAGTGGGTTATAAAATTGTTAGCAAGACAAGATCAAGATGGACTAAGAGGATGTGTCTTACGCTTTGTATTCCCTGCGCCTAGCAGAATTCAAACCCACAACAATTTAAACAGATATCCCCATGACTTTCATTCTGCCCTCCCTGCATGCTGCCTATAGCAAACATACTCCCCACCTCCCAACAGTGCCAAACTGATGGTCCTTACTGCTGCCTGCATCTGCACATCAGGTCTGTTCCACCACCTCGTCACTCCCGCTCCCGGCAAGCAAGCCAGGGAAGCCTGTCACCCTCACTTAAACCCACAGGTCACACAGGTTCCACATGACTGAAGACTTTGATGGCAAAAACACGCTGCTACCCCACAGCTGACACTCCATGAAGCACAGCAGGACATACTGGGGCTTACTTGTCCTTGTGCTGTGCTGCACATTTCAGCTTGCACATCATTCTCACTGGCTGTTAAAAACTTCTGGGCAGGAGAAAGCCTAAGGTGAAAAGCGCGACAATGCTAATTTTCTTTTCTCAATGCTGATGTATCCTGATACAGGCAGAACACATCATTAGAGAGCTCTAGCTCTGAGGCAATTAAGACCATTTAATTTTAAATACAGAAGATGATAACTAATAGGAAAAAACTCTGATGTCACTCACATTGCAATAGAAATGGATAAAAAGATAGGAACTGAATATAGATTACAAACCATTCAGATCTGATGAGTCAACTTAGAAATGAACAAAACACCACCTGGGGCAGAATCTGTTGACCTGTCTTCAAATACATCCAAGTGCTATACAACCAGCCTGTCACCATAAGGAAAACAGCCCTCAAATCCCTGGAGGTTTTCCCCACATATAGTGAAAAAGAGAGAATAAATAATTTCTAAGGAATGGCTGCACTGAATTCCTAGAACTCTACTAAACAGAACATACTTTACAACCTCTTGTGTCTCTTTGGTACAGCTAGTTTCCACCCTATGGGCATGTTTAACTTCCTTTCGCTTTAAGAGGGCTGACACTCACATCCAAGTCCCCTTGATTCCAGAATCGTCCCCTGCTCAGCAGAGAAGACAACCTCCGTGTCTCTGTATCTGATGGAAGCTGGGCCAATCCATGGGCAGAAGGCAAGGCACAGGAGACACGCAAACATATGCCCACTTCAGGAGAGTGGTTAGACAAGAGAGATGGGAAGCGGTAAGCAGAAAAGCTTACAAGGTCTTAAAACTGCAGGAGCAAACCAAACAAGACTGTCCCATTTCCTCCAGCTACCAAGAGTTTGGGGGCTTCTAGCCTCATGCTGCTGACACAAAAGCTTAAGCAAGAGCTTGATACCCGGTGTGTCATGCTGGTGAGCTTATAAACATCAACAGGCCTTGAAACTTGGAGTATACAGGGAGTCTGGAGGATGTACACCTACATACCTACTGAGCAGTCAATACCTCCAGAGCTAGGCTGACAAAAGCCTCTGGATCTTTATCTCTTAGATTCAGGCACTTCAGTTTTTACTTATCACCTACCCTAGACACAAATGCAGGTCATATAGTTTGAGAAGGTGAATATAACATCACCCATGTACCTGAGCCATGTTTGAAACAGCAGTTGTAGACCTCAGTCCTAAATCAGTGCTTCTCTGGAATCCCGGGCAGTTCTCTGAGATTCTACTGAAAAAAGTATTGCTATTTCAAACTAATGGCTAAGAATGGTTTAAACAAAATACAAACCTCTTATGCACACCAGTGATGGTAATGTTACTTCAGAATAACCAAAACAAATCAAAACGAATATGTCCAAAATTAAGGAAAAAATTATTTTTAGGAAGGAATTCCCTCCTGAGTTGTTTTCTGGACATCCTACTCTTCAGCATCAGGGGTGGGGAGGAAGAAGTAGCTAGAATTAGGTGAAGGCTCTTTCATGTCATGTACTCATTTTTTATTATCTGATCTACATTATATTATAGACTTCACACAAGATCAGAAATGTCCAAGGAACCAGAAGTACAGAAATCCTAAACAGTACATTTTGTTGTTTGTTACTTGAGGTTTTGTTTAAATATTTGGTTTTCCTACCATACCACAGCCACATCTTTTAAGTAAATATACAGCCAGGGACAACTGTTGTCAAGCACATTTACAACAGCTTACACATTACTTGTGACACCAGCTTTTCATTCTAGCATTGCGCGCTTCCTTCCTGCGCTAGACCATAACAGCTCCACTGCACATCAAGATATCCTTGGAGATTCCTTAGTTCATGGATCATTGACAAGAAGAGACATTACAGACATTCATGTCAGCATAGCTGCCACACATGGGGTCTTAAGCCCACTTGTTAAAAACCCTGCAGCAGCCAGGCTAAAAGGTCACAGGGGATATTAATCTCTATTCTTTGGAGCATAAGCTGACTTGATCCCTATCTGGGGTTAGAAAAGAATTTTTCTCCCAGAACTAAAGCAATGCACAATTCAACAAGATCCAAAGACAGTCTCTATTTTAACATTAAAGCAATATACACACACAAGCATTTCCACAGGCAGATACAGTGACTGTGTGAATGATAGGCAAAGGGGGACAGCTTGCTTAGCAAACTTGTGTGCAACACCAGTGAGAATGAATACAGGACGAATGACCCACTTCAGCTCACATTCTTCAACACTACCTCACCACAGAGGTAAGAGAGGCAGCAAATGCCCTCCCCTATAGAGGGGGTCTGTAGCAGAGCTCATCCTACTGTTTGATCATGAACATCACTCTGCAAGTGCCAAAACAGAAGGCATCTCTGCTATCTTTACATGTCTTTTTTATGCATGTGTTTTGGCACAATCAGGAACACAACTGCATCCCATTTTCTCCACAGGCACTCAACTCTTGAACAGGATAGATGACTCATTTAATGAGGTGTTACTCTTTTTTGCTTTACTCTCATTGTTTCAACAGTCTCATCAAGCTTTATTTAATGTCTGCTAATCAGACTTTTCTCCAAATCAGATGTTAATTCCTCATGGATAGAGCTATACCATACCTGGATTTTTCTGGACATGTGCCTTTCTCTGATCAAAATTTTACCCAAGCAAAACAGAAATGTTCCACAGTTCCCAGAGATTGCTGGACATATGCTCTCACGTCATAGCAGTTCCGCAGTACTGCTGACTAGACAGCTGAACATCTGGAATGGCCTGAACATACACAGATGAAGATTGGTGACTAATTCTGTTTCTCATTTTCCATAAATCAGTCATGCAGCACGATGTCAGGCATCCCAAAATGCAATGTAAGAGACACAGCTAATGTTACTAGACAGAGTCAGTCTGTCAGGCACCATCTTCTGGAATACAGTGCTAAGGTACGACTATACATTTTCCACTTTTACAAGACAGACTCAGAATGATCCTCTGCCACCGCACAACCCCAGAACAGGTCAATTGCCACACAGAGCAAAGCAAGGAAGTGAATTCCAGTGTTAATAGGTTTTGATTTTTGGATTTATCCACTTTTTGTATGCATCCATTTCCACATCTAAGCAACAAACTGAAGTTGTTCTTTCCTCAAATTCCTCTTACTGCTTAGAAGCTTTTCCTTGCAATTAACTGAAACCTGCACTTCTCAGGTTAAGGCCATATTGGTTTTGTAAGCCAGCTTTGACCAGTTTCAGCTTCCTCTCCCCTAATTATATCTTTGCTTCAAATAGTACAATGATCCTATTTTCAGTTTTCTCTTCAAAGTTAGAAGTTGTTAAAATAGAGACATAAACTATATGACAATGCCTTACCTGGAAAAGCATAAACAGTAATACTAACTGGAACATTGTCAGAGGAAGAAAAAGGTATTTTTTCCCTGCATGACATGCAGTTCCTACTAGAGGCCTACAGAAGTCTATTGCTGACTGAAATACAGACTGTATTTTTTCATGTGCTTAATGTATTTAATTTGAATTTTAAGAACAAGTTACTAAAAATGTAATTATTAAAAAAAATTAAATAAGATTTTTCTGATTTATTATAAAGATTATTCCTTTTATTTTGGACTTGGGTGCAGAACAACATGTCTTTATTTCTAATAATTAACTGTCCCTGTTCAGATGCAATCACTGATACTGCTGACAGTTATCAGACATTACGTCTGCACGACAAACCCAACATTTTAATTGAGCACTGTCAGATAAAATACAAACAAACAAAAGGCTTGCCAAGTTCCACAGCCAAATCCATCTCTCCCTGTTAACATGGCTTTGTTTACACATGCAGCTGTGGTCCCATGGACTGGTGTGGAAGCTAACGATCATGACCTCACAGGATCAGAACTCCTGTTAAAAATATGTCTGTAAGTAAGAACGTGCCTCAGTTCCAGCAGAATCGGATTTAAACTACATGTAAATGAATCAAAGATGAGAAGTGTGCTGTGCCAGTGCGATTTTCTTCCTTTTGCTGTGTTCATCAACAGTGACATGAATGGCTACAACTGCAGTGGTGGCCCTGGGGGTTGCCATTGGAGTGTTCATGCCCTGTGCTTCTTCAAAGCAGCACACACGCCAGATAAAACATACACACACATACTGCGGCCCAGGAAGCCCAGCACCAGGGATCTCTCAAGTCAGTTAACTGCTTTCTGCTGTTTTTTGGCTTCTTTGCACTGAAACTGTTTTGCCATAGCAGACGTGCAGTTAATGGGGAAATGTGTATGGAAGAGGGAAGGAAAAGAAGCAGGCATGCAGGCCTCAAACTGTTTTTGTGTGAAATCTTCTGAGAGCTAACTTGAAACAGAGAGTTACTTTAAATGCAAGCGAAAAAAACCCGCCATCATCGAATGAAGTAAAGAAATTCACCACAAATTAAAAATAAACACATAAGAAACCACTAAACAGTTGGTCAGTGTTTTAATTAGAGATTAATTCAGAGATTTAAATTTGAGGTTTAATTAATTTGGTAAACCAAACAGAAAGTATCCTGGAGAATGAAATGGCCATTTGCAGAGCCTTTGTACTACAATTTTCTGAAGAACTAGAAAGAGGAGAATCAGAGACGGCTGTGCTATTCCTAAAACTGACTGCAAACCATATCCCTCTCCAGGCACCTCATGCACCAGGTTTCAGGCACATCCATATGGTCACATCACCATTCCTTGGGGTAATGAGGTGTTCATTGGCCAGGCTGGATAACATAAAGGAAAACAGCTAACACATATGCTGTGTGGCACTCTGGGGAGTGTAACTCCATACACAGACACTTCAGGCAGTGAGTGAGAGGCTTGCTAGCTTCTGCTTCATCTCAGCCCTGCTGGACCCAGGCTGGCTCCACACATCTCTCTCCTCTTCAGCACAGCCTTCAGGAGTTCTGGCATTAGTGCCACATCAAACCCAAGCCCATGTTTAGGTGGGACCAGCCCTGAGGTGATGGATCCTGAGAGAATCCTGACAGACTCCTCTGACAGAATGCAGGGCCCAGATACCTGAAGGAATCCGCAGGGCCTGTCCAGAAGTCAACAAAGGGGAACTCAGTGCAAGTCAATAATCCCTCTGGTCCTTTGTGAAGACACTTGCTTTTCTGTGTATCACGTGTAAGCACTTCTGGTAGAGCAAACATGCCACCAAAGATTCTCAATATGGGTCTGTACAGAGCCAGCTCAGGTTCAAAGTGTTTACTAGGTCAGGCTCTGTGCCAATAAAGGCAGTTAAACTGCTCCTGCACCCTGGCCCTGGATACAGCACACCCATGCTCCACCCCATGCTGCAGTTCAGGAGCCCTGACAACCCATAGTCAGCTCCACAAAGGCTCGGTTTGCTGCTGCTACATTCCCAGTCCAGCCAATCTGCAACCCAGATAAACTTTCCATGAATAATTGCAGGTTTAAAGGACTCACACACGTGTTTATAACCCTGACTCATGAGGTCAGAATTTTGGCCTGAATACTTTTCCACCTTTTGAACTCCCCTCTGAATTCCAAAGAATGGAGTTCTTAGGACAAAGAATGTGTATTTCTTAATCAGAATCTTGCTTTTTAGAATTGTTCTAAAGAATAGTATATATTATTTTAAATATACAGTAATAAGCATATTGTTCTTAGTGCTACAGAGATGCTTTTAGTCTTCAGATTTCTCAGCTCAGTCCTGAAAGAATGAGGTGGGTTTTTTTTTCTTTACACTTATTTACACAGAAAACCAGACAAAGGCTTGTTGATGCTTCCTTGTCTTCCATTTAGTTCTCTTTCGTGAGATTGCGATTTGCTCAGGGCAGGATCCATTTCTCTCCATTACCTGCTCAAAAGCCCGAGTCTCCAAGAGCAAAGCACCCTGGAAGCACGCTGCAGCTGCAGTGTTCACTTCTGCAGGCTGGCAAGTACCAGGAGCTGCAAGAAGCCTAAGTCTGCCTAGGATGTAGCTGACATAGGGGTGGGGGGAAAGGGAAAAAAAAGAAACCACTCAACAATCTGCAACTGCAATAAAAATCAAATATCCCTTGGAAAGAAACCCAGCTTTGTGACATGTGAAACTGTAGTAGGAGTAGACATTTAATATCCACATACAAGGGAGTACTAATGCAATGATGCTTTTAGGATACAGATTTTCAGAAAGGAAAAATAACACCCTCTGACATACCAATCATAAACACGTATATTTTAAATATGATATTGAGAGAATATCATACATATGAGAGAAACTGCAATTTTATTCCCTCTCATGGCTCTTGGAGAATACAAGATAAACACTAGAACTGTCATCAGAGAAAACGGAGAGAGAAAAGGGAAAAAGGCCAATACTGACATCATGACAGTAATGTGTGTGGAATAGAAATATTGTACCAAATAATTTTGTATCAAAATTATTTTTAAAAAAGTAACACTGTGGCTAGACCACCTACTGCAACAAAACCAACAGAGCCTAAGCGTGGCTGTAGGACACATGAAACTCGAAACTACAACCTCAACTACTCGGAGAAACTTTCCAGGCCTCACTCTGACCACTGCCTCCTCCACAATCATCACCCGGCCCTCCGGTCTCCTCTGCCTTCTGCACATCCCTGCCCTCCCATCTGCTCTGCCACTCCTCCTTCAGCACACCTCTCCCCTTCCATCCATCTATCCACCCAGGTTCCCATGTGCCTCTTTCCTGGTATTCTATCCTCAACCTCCAATGGAGTCCTCCATCGGCATCCACACACCACCCAACCCATCCTGCCCCCGCCGCAGCCCCGAACTGCGCTCTCCCACCCGGGTTTGTCGCGCACCCCCGCACCCCACCCCGCGCCTCCCTCCCGCAGCCGCAGAGCCCCCGCACAACCCCCGCCTTCCTCCCGAGCGCCCCGCACCGCCCCGCGCCCACCCCCCACAGCCAGCCCTTCCGCACCGCCCCTCCCTCCAGCCCCTCCCGCCCCGGCGGCGGCACAGGGGCTTAGCCCTCGCTGTTCCAGATGGACGAGCCCCTCAGCGCCCTCGTTCAGAGCGAGCCTCTCCTCCCCACAGGGGTCTCCTCCGCAGCATCCATCTCGCCCCCCCTTCCCCGAGGCCGCTGGGGGCTGTAGTTCCCCCGCGGCCTCTCCCGGCAGCCCCCAGGGCTCGGCGGGGGCGCGGACTACATTTCCGGCAAGCTCCGCGGGAGCAGGGGATTCCCCCTACTCCACCCCTCCGCCAGCCTCTACCGCTGGTTCCTCTCCATCCCCGCCGCGCTAAGGGAGGCGGCGGGGTCTGAACCGCCGCCCGCTGCGGGCAGCGCCGCCGTGAGGGGCTGCCCCGCCACCGGGCCCTGCCGTTACCTGGGAGAGCCGGGGGTGCGTGTCCGCGGGCGGGAGCGGCGCGGGGAGGGGCGCAGCGCTGCTGCTCCGTCAGCCCGGGGCGGGGGGCCGAGGCGCGGGGGCGGGCGGGGAAGAGAAGGGGGTGCGCGCGCGCGGCGACGGGCGGTTGCCATGGCGGCGGCGGCGGCGGGCGCGAGGAGGGAGGGGACAGCACCGCCACCGCGGCTCGGGCCTCCGGAGCGCCCGCCGCGCCCGGCCGGCGGAGGGGGCCGCGGGCGCCGCCGCCCAGACCGCGTTGGGCAGCCCTCGGCAGCGCTCCGCGCTGAGCATCCCAGGCGGAGGCGGGCGGAGAGCGTCCCGCTTGCTGCGGGAGCGGCGCAGTGCCCGTGCGGGGAGCAGAGGAGCGAGTGCCAGAACTAAGCGCCCGGGCGGGGCTGGCTGCTGAGCCCGTGCTCGGGTCGGAGTGGCTGAACACGCAGGATCACAGGATGGGGCCGGTTGGAAGGGACCGCAGCGGGGCATCTGGTCCAGCCTCCCTGCTCAAGCAAGGTCATCCTAGAGCACATGGAACAGGATTTTGTCCAGATGGTTCTTGGATATCTCCAGTGAGGGAGACTCCACAGCTTCTCTGCTCCAGTGCGCGGTCTCCCGCACAGTAAAGAAGTTCTTCCTCATGTTTAGGTGGAACTTCTTGTGCGTCAGTTTCTGCCCGTTGCCTCGTGTCCTAGTGGTTAGCACCACCGGGAAGAGCTCTGACTTCACATTCAGAGTTCATTCCCCACTCTGAATGCAGACCTCGTGTGCCTCCACCTCGACTGAGGGAGCGGCTGGGAAAGGCAGAATGTGCATTTGTCTTGCATGGGCATGCAGAAGGGCACTGGACACCATCTTGCTTTTATAGTACAGTAAAGGAACAGATTTGGGGATTTACCCTTTTCCTGGACCGAAGTGGTACCTGGTGATCACAGGCAGCCTCACAGAGTGGCACCACCCAGTCTGTGCTTTCTGCTAGGGGTCAATGTACCTGGTGTTTCTGAAGTGTGCAGCTCACGGTTATTATGAGCAGCCTGGTCTCCTGCAAGGGGAGCCGCGCAGTTATAAACCTTTCTAAGGATGTAATTTCACAGTTAATGCAAGTCAGCCTATGTCTGTATTGCCACCAAAAAGGGAAATCCTGCATTCCTCTCTGATCATGACCATGCCTTCCTGTTTGTTATTTACACCACAATAACACTGATGTTGCCATCTGGCAAGGCAAGCCTGGGATCTGATCTGGTGGAGAGGCAGTTATGCCCCTCCAAAAAATTACCCAAGTTCAGCTGGATGTACTTCGTTCATTAGCTGAGCCTGCCGAGCTACCACAGAGGAAGGCAGAGTAGATGTGGAGGCAGGAACAGCCAACTGAGATCCCAGTGGATCCGAGCTGTGTTACTATGTGCAGCTGCGCCACTGCAGCGAGTCCTTGCTGCTGGAACTGCCTTGTGACAGCTCGGAGAGTGTCCCAGTGATGATGATCTTGTGAACGCTCCCGAGAGTAGTACGTGATTTCTCCAGAAAATGTCTGTTGTAGTTACTTTAAGGTAGCAGCATGAGGTTGTATCTCACAATAAGGTTCTCAGAAATGTTAACTGACAGAAGTAAAAGAGCAGGGATTGAAACTAAAGGCTCAGTATGCCTCTTAAACAATACAGCATGTACGAATGTGTCACTCATGTATCTACAGATCTTGCTTCCCTCAAAAGCATGTGGAGATTCTTATGTCTTTGTGACTATTTTAGAACTGGGGCCAAAATCGTGATGAATTCATAACAGCTGCAACTCTGGCTTCCCCCTTTTCCAGATTTCTGCAAACTTGCCTGCCCATGACATCAATTCCTGCTGGTTTTTCACATACCCAAAAGCATAGACGCTGTACAGGCCTTGCAGAGTTCAGTGTTTCTTGGGGAGAGCAGATGCTTAACATCCTGTTCCCAACACTGCCATAACATCCCTTCCCGTTAGACTATGTACCTCTTATCACATAAGGCAACACATTAGCCGCTTTGTGTGAGGATTGTATCCCCCAGCTAGGAAACTGACACAAAGAAGGTTGGTTATTTGGTCATAATCTCTATTTGTTTGCTTGGTGATTTTTTCCCCCATCCCTTTTTTTAGTAATGCTTGAGTCAAGCAGGGCTGCTTCCTCATGGCAGAGGGTGCCCATACTCCTGCTGACCTCCCTTTGAAAAGCAGTTGCTCAACACCAGAGCAATACCAGCGTCAACCTCGTTGGACCCCTCAGAGGGAAATTTTAGTATGCATGGGTTGACACAGTTTGCCAAGGTATGCTAAGTAACTGGGTCAGGAGGAAGAGAACTGTGTCTCCAGGTTCCTAGCTATGCACGTTAGGATAATTCAGGTTTGGAGGGGACCTCAGGAGGTCATCTAGTTCAGCCAGACAATCAGAAGTTCATAAACCTGTTAATAAGGCAGACGAATGACAGCTGTGAGCATGAAAATTTCATAGCCTTTCCTGCTGCCATGGTCAGACTCCATCAAATCTGGCTGGAGTGGTGCAAAAAATACTGCTACCCTGACCATTTATTCCACCTCCTTACTGAAGGTTCCTGCCTTCACAGTAGTCCCTGGATTGGAAAACAGTAATGTTTCTAATCCATTTTATTAAAAAATATGGTATTAAAGTCATCTTTGGGAGCAGTTTAAGCTAATTTGCTGGACCTTGTATTGAAGCAGCTGGACTAGTGCATGCATTTCATTCCACTGACTGCTGTGAGGCAGTAATCTCAGGCAAAGAGAAGGTAAGAAATTTCTGGGAGGCGTGTGACACCTTAAGCCACTGAGACTTGTTCTACTGTGAGTATATTCTCATGGCTTACATCTTTTTATTTTTTGATAGAGGCTTTAAACCTAGCTCTGGATAAGATGTGATGTGGGTGGGTGTCAGCAGCTGTGGTTAGGCAGGATCTAGCCATGGTGGTGTAGGAGACATTACTCACAGCCAGACCTCAGGGACTTATCATGCCCCTTTCCAGCAATCTGCAAATCTGCCAGCAGAGCTGATTGTGTGCCCTCTCGCTCTGATTTATTCTAGTCAGTTCAATCAGGAGCTGATATAAATTAATGTAACTCCTTTGCCATGAACATTAGGTTTGGTTCAGAAGTGTCTCTTCAGCTAGAGTAATTGCAGACATTGTCAGAGAAGTTTAAAGCTATCCACTCTTAGGGTCTGTGTCAGATTAACAAAACTGGTTTCTGAATTGATTTGGTTATCATTACATAAATTCCAGTGACTTGAGGGCTGGCACAGGCTTTTAGCACAAAGTAGCAGAGAGCTTCATTTGTAACCTCCTCCCACACACAAAGTTCTGCAGGAGAAGGTTGAAAACATGTGAGAAGTCTATGAATTATGAACTGCCCTTTGCTTTTGTCTTGTCTTCCCCTCGCAATTACATTTAACCAGACTACAGGAATTATTGTGCCTTCATAATAATCTTTAATACTCACATGCAAACGTAACTCTTTACTAAAGGTCTTACAGGCTGTGTGGAGAAATGCTGTAATAATGGAAAGTGAAAAACAATAGGGAAGCAATAGGGAAAAGAAGGTCCATGTTACGTATTCATAGGCATTAACCTTCCAAGGAAAGTTATGCACAAGTCAGGAAAGGCATCTGTAGACTGTTAATTTTCATACATACAAAGTAATTGTTCTTCTGCATAGTTATTTTTATGTTATGGTATTTATCAGTGTGACATATCCACCAATTTCTCTCCTAGGAAAGAACCTCAAAGTCTGAACTAGAGAAATTGTGATGGGTTGGCAACACAGAAACATTTAATCACCATCTTTCCCATAAGGTACATCTCAAAGTGCTGTGAATTGTTAATAGAGAGAACAGTTTAATAGAAAGCAGTTGATTCTCAAATGGGATTTCAGTTAAGTCAGAAAGTGAGAGTAGGAACGGACAAGGGTGTTTTTATTTATCTGGTCAATGTAGACATCTGTCTTGTAGGTCTCTGCCTCTGAGTTAGCTTTCCTCTTAAGTGAGAGAGAGTGATACTTTGAGGATACAATTCCTGTTTTGACCAACATGGACTGTGCCCTGAATGTTTTTTTCCAGTGCTTTTAGCCAACTTGGCTGATAAGCATATATATAAGTGTTTGCACTGTAGATGCCTAAAGGTAGGTGAGAGGAGTCCTACCTAGTATGTTTGTTGTATATTTAGAGCCATAGCAAGGGAAAGCTGTCACGGCAGCTTTGAGTTGGTTGATTAAAATGACAAGGAACAAGCCAGTGTCACATTAGTGGAAGACACAGGTGGAAGAGAAGACATCTTTGAAATGGGTTGGAGCAAGCTCAGTGTACACTGAAAAAAAACCCCACCTGTTCTGCTTTGAGTCTGCAGACAGAAATTAGAAGAATTAACAGGAACTAGGATATCGTGTTTCTTTTCTGTTAATACTCAACGTGCAGAAGCATTTTGCATATGTTAGAGTATAACGCTTTGGAGAAGAAATAAGAAAGTAGCTTACAGTAGTAAGAGAGAGGAAGACGTGGACAGAAACATCAGAGAAAGTAGAGTCAGGCCTAGGGAGCTGTGTGTCAGCAACTGTTAAGTGAAAACCTGGACATGGAAAGAAAGTTTGTTCAGAGAATCTCAGTCCTGTGGCAGAGCACTAGACAGTATCAAGTAGCAAAGTTCCCTTAATCTGTCTGCTGGAGTTGACAACTGAGAGAAAATCTCTCGTGATGTGCTTTTGTTTGGCAACATAACTCTTTCAGGGTACAGTGTGAATTTTAAGCTGTTTTTCTAAAGATTTGACACTTCTGGAGTTGCACACTGTCTGTCCCATTGCAATAATTTTGAACTTCACTGGCCAGTTTCTACTGCATATGCAAAAGGATGGTGGTCTAACTGAGTTCCTTCTAGTTTTGTAGTAAGTAGCACAGTAGAAAAAATGGACACAGCTGGTGGCTCTGCTGAGCACAAGACAAGCTGCCCAGTCTGCCTGTGTGAAATGACCAACAGCTCCCC